TTTATTGAGAATATTTATGTACATGATATTTTGACTTAAGTAGCGCCTTGAGTTAATAGAATTTGGGGCGTTACACATCCTTAAACCAATTTTTAGATAGTTTGAGGGAGATTGAGCTGTTGTAGGGAGACATTGAGAATAGATGTGGATTACATGTGTGTTAAATTTTGTATGAATTGTCTGAGACTAATAAGATAAAAATTAGGTTAAAGTCTTAAGTTGGGGGTCGATTTTTGAAAATGAGTGTTCAAAAAGGGGCGTTGCACAAATAAAAAAATAAAAAAAAATCAACGCTCGTATTGTGAAACTTCTCTTTGTAGCCTTTATGACTCAATTGATTAAGTCTGTAAGGGTCTTCAAAAATCTGGTGCCCTATGGTCGTCTGACTTTAGAGTCATCAGCTGAAAGCTCATTACAAGAGTTATTTAGAAAGCTTAATGGAAAGGAGTGCCAAAAAAAAAATTGCTACACATCTTGAGTAAGTCTCGAACACTCATTTGAGAGAAATAGACTTTTGACGAGGAATTATTAGCTTAATTGATTCTTAGAGGTTGAATCAATAAAAAATAAGGAGAATTCGCATTTGTTGACGTGTTGAGCTGCAATTAGCAAAACTCGAACCAAACTAGAGAGGGTGAGGATTAGTATTATATTACAAATTCAACCTTATATTGCACATTGGGAAAAGAGTGAAAAGAATAAAGTTTGGGGGCATGTATCTTATGAGCAAAGAAAGGAAATATTTGGCAATAAAGGGTCAGGAATTGAATCAATTTATGACTTTGTGGTGCTTTACATGAATCCTCACGCACACACGTCGGTTTTGCATTAAATAGGTAGAGATTGATTTAGCATTGTGATTTTGAAGTAGTTCACAGTTTCAACTCTGGAAGTCCAATCCTGAGGCTAAAAGCAGATTATCCAACCATGTTTTTTTTGGAATTTTGTGTAGTTAAGTTTTATTTTGTTTGAGGACAAACAAAGATTCAAGTTCGGGGGTTTGATAAGTGTATTTTCTACACTTATTCGAGGCTTGAAACTATAGAATTTTATGGTTCTTTTGGCAAAATACAATCTGAATTGTGTTATATTGCATCTTGTAGGTAAAACTCAATATTTGAGAAGAGTTGGAGAAAAGAAGCAAAGTATGTCGAAAAATGAAAGAATCCAAATACTTATTCGCGGCTTGAAACTATAAGATTTTATTGTTCTTTTGCCAAAATACAACCTAAATTGTGTTATATTACATCTTTTAGGTAAAACTCAATGTTTGAGGAAGAATTGGAGAAAAGAAGCAAAATGTGTCGAAAAATGAAAAAATCCAAAGTACGGGGATCAAAGTCTACACTATAGAAGTTGAAGGACTTAATTGCATTAATTCTAAACAAAAAATGACTGGGAGAAAAATAAAGTTAATGGGCTGGACCTCTTGCTGAAGAAAAAAAGGGTTTCTGCTATTTGAATTAGAGATATGCACTTGAAGAGAAAAAAAAAAAGAGGAGAGCCGGGGTGGAAATTGGAGAGAAAAAGGGCAGAAAACGGCGAGAATAAATTGAGAATTTGGGTGGCTGCCATATTTTATTCTTTACACACACATTAGTGGACAAAATTAAAGAGATAATTTGTTTTGAGTGGGCTGCAACTTGGAGGTTAAAGTTGAAGGATTTGGTTGCTGAATTAATAGTAAACAACATACATATACACGCCCACGGGAAGAACTCATTGGTCGGCTGCTATTCATACTAGATTATACTCAATTTGGCAGATTTGGGACTGAAAATTGGCAGATTAAGGGGTTGAAATTAATTGAAAAGAAGTGGGCAGTTGCTACTGAAACTCATAACATCATGCACGCACGTAGAGGAACGGAGGAAGATATGCATAGCAAGAAAATTGGGAATTAATCACGTTCGTCAAATTTATAGGTGATGTCGTTCCACTTTTATATGTTTAATCTTGAAAACATGCTAGACTAAATTCCTTTGTATTGGATAGATGAAGAAACTATTTGATTTTTAGTTTTTAATTCAAGGCTATGTGATTTTAATATAATTCTTGCATTGTGATTTCATAGATATGCATAAGTACATTGTTTTAATGTTTGAACACCATTATGACAATTAGTTGCTTATTTGTAGTGTGGGAAAACTCACAGTAGGTAGAACACTGTTTATGGAACACACGGATAATAAATATTAGGAATAATATTTATGGCGTGTGCGGTCATGTATGATAATCCTAAACGTCAATGCTTGCTTGTCNCCTATCGACTATCTTTTATTACTTTTGCGAATTTAGATATATCGAATACACTAAAATTAATCTTTATTCCTCGTGGGACGATAACTCTCCCATCACGATTATTACTTGTACAACGAACCCGTACGCTTGCGGGATTTTAACGTAACACTTTCTTCCATGGTGAGTTGAATGAAGAGGTGTAGATGTTAATGCTTCCAGGTTATAAGCAGCAGGGTGAGTATGGTGAACATCTGGTTTGCAAATTAAACAAGTCCATTTATAGACTCAAACAAGCTTCAAGGCAATGGAACATCAAGCTAACTTTATACATTCTTTCACAAGATTTCAAGCAGTCAAAGTCTAATTATTCTTTATTTAGCAAACAAGATGGCTACTTATTCACTGTACTTCTTATCTATGTTGATGTTATCATCATTAGGGAAATTAATTTGTCTTACATTGAGCAATTTAAAGGTGAATTGAATGAACAATTCAGGTTGAAGGATTTGGGGATCTTAAAATATTTCTTGGGCCTTGAAGTGGCAATAAATACAATAGGGAAATCTATTTGTCAAAGGAAATACGTACTAGATATTTTGATAGATACAGGTTACCTTGGAGCAAAACCAGCAAGTAGCCCCTTACCACACAACTTGAAATTGAGTAAAAATGAAGCGGAAGCAATTACGAATCCAAGTATCTACAGGAGACTAGTGGGGAGGATTCTATACTTAACAATAACAAGACCAGATATGTCATATGCGGTTCAAGTCGTGAGTCAATTCTTCCGGTCACCAAAGTAGCCTCATCTAGAGGCAGTTCATCATGTATTGCTGTATTTGAAGAGTACACCGGGCAAGGTTTATTCTTTGCAAGCAAGTTTGATTTACATCTTAAAGGCTAATGTAATGCAGATTGGGGCAGCATGTTCGGACACAACAAGGTCAATCACTGTTTATTGCATATTTCTGGGAAAAAGCAACATACAGTGTCATGGTCTTCAGCTAAATGAAGTATAGGTCCACGATAGCTGCAGTTTGTGAGTTTACCTGGTTGAAGAATATACTAAAGGATTTGAGCATCTTGCATACCAGACTAGCCTTATTATTCTGTGATAATCAGTCGGCCATACACATAGCTAGCAACCCCGTGTTTCATGAAAGAATGAAGTGTATAGAAATTGATTGTCATCTTGTAAGAGATAAGGCACTTGCTGGAGAAGTGAAAAATACTATGCCCCTGTTTGCTACACATTCTTTCAAAACTCATTTTCAACCACACATTTTTCAATAAAATAATATTTTCCATCACATCAATAACTTTTCCTTACTTTTTAACCACATATTTCTCATCCTATTACTATTTGAAATTCATTTTTCCTCAATAATATTCATCAACCACACCCTACATATGGTTTCACAAGAGCAAGTAGCAGATTTGTTAACCAAACAATTGGGAGGAACTAGATTCAAATCATTACTTGGCAAGATGAGAGTGTTGAATAGACATTAGCCATCTTGAGGGGAGTATTGAATTGTATTAGTATATGATTATTTAAGTCATTTTACATTTTTCATTCTGTTATGTTAGTTAGAAGTCTGTATACGC